AGCTACTTGAGCATTTTTGAGGGAAATACCTTAAAAGTCTGTCATCATCATCATCATCATCATCGTCGTCGTCGTCGTCGTATAGTTTTGTAGAAACTGTAATTAGAACCTACTGAAATGAATCATGACAAGCTTCAGCTGGTGGTATCTGAAATCCAGGCCATTTTATAATGGACAATTTCTACGGAACAACTTTTGTTTCATTTAAATGTTTCAAAGTATCTCATCTTCTAATTATTGATACTGTGTCCGCTAATGAAACCCTTTTCTTGCTTAACTTTTGTATTTGAACTCTTGGAAAACATATTTAATGAGAAATATCCTAATAGTATCCCTGGAGTTATAAATGTATGCAATAGACATTTTTCTTTGAGGGGTTAAGAAAGATCCTTAAAACAGATTAAATATGGGGTAGTGGTTTCTACACTTACCTTTAAAAGGTTTTTTAAAAATGGCTTTGTCTCCCACAGATTGTGATTTCTTTATCCAAGGGTAATATAATATTCTAATTCAGCTTCTAATTTTCTTTATGCTAAATTTTACTTAGGATCAAAGCCATTCAAGTGCAAGATTTGCCACTTTGCAACAGCTCAACTAGGAGATGCCAGAAACCATGTCAAGAGGCACCTTGGGATGAGGGAATACAAGTGTCATATCTGTGGGTGAGTAAATTGAAATAGTTCCTCCCTTGGTTAATGGGAGAGAAGTGCAGGCTATGCATTGTTTCAGCGTTCAAAGAGGGAATGTGAGCAAGAGAGGCTAAAATTATGCATGCATATCCTCCTTCCCATTGTTATGGTAAATTCCTTAAATACAGTTATGACATTCTTTTCCTACTTCTAATCCAGTACCGCAGATGAGCAATTTTATGGGCTACAAGGTCAATTTGAACCTGTAATCTGTAAATTGACTAAATTATAGGATGTTCATTCACATTGCCAGGGAGAACTGTAAATTTCCTTTTAAAGGTGTGTGTATGTGTGTGTGTGTGTGTGTGTGTGAGAGATACACATATAAAGTATGTGTTTTATGTGTTAAAAAAAAATACAGACTTCAGTGTGGTATGCATTTTCCTGTGCCCATACATGTATATGTTATGTATTGTTATGATTCTAGGACTGAGACTTTTGTATTACAGGAGATGGAAGAAAAGAAAACTTTCTGAAGGTTTTTACATATTGCCACACATAGATGTGGGCACATAATCAGAGGCATCTTGTCTTAGAAAATCCTCCATTTTCCTTTCTTTCCTAATGGTTATTTCATCACACAGACCATTCATAATGTTTAATTGTACTTCAACTATATTGCATTTAAAATGGTGGATCCTGAAACTCTTTAATCCAAAGCTAATTAATTTAGCAGAAATGTTTAAAAGGTTTTCAAATGCCATGGCATATATAGTACAGCATAGGACATTCAGAGGTGGGTTTTAGTACTGCGCTCTTATTAAAAGTGTATTTTAGTGTTATTATGCTAAAAAAATTAGCTAATATATGTGCCACATGAAATGCTTTTTTCAAAATATTTTAAGTTGCTGCAGAGGCCCGATGGTTAGTGTAATGTTTGGGGTTGGTTCAGTGAATTAAACCCAATGCTCACCAAAATGATAAAGTGAGTGGTTAAGGATATTTTTCAGCTGGAGTTTGGTCGTGTCAGCCCTTGCAATTAAACCTTTTAGCAGAACAAAGTGAGTGCAATATTCAAAAGAAAATTAGAATGCTTTTCACTGAAGCAAATGTCTCTTACAAAAATAGCGCATTAAACTGACAAGAGTGGTGTGATTATCTGACGGGAAGAAGGACTGGACAGTTGCTGACCAAATTACTTGCAAACACAGTGGAAGTTGTTATGGAAGTTGTCACTTGTAAAATAACAGAGGACTATCCTCTAGTCCTTGGGCAGCAAATAACATCCACAGCTACTGCATGTGGGTAGCTGTCTGTTTTGTGATATGATTAGTAGTTCTGTGCATGCAGGGTCTGTGACTTATCCGCCATGTGTCTGCTACTTAATGGGAATGTGAAAAATGAAACTTGGATTTGCTTTCCTTGTGTATGGATAGTGGGAATGGTGGATCAGAATTGGCAAGCCATTTTAAATTACGGTTGTACCCTCTGTAATTACCTTACTCTCATGTGTTAAGGAGTACATTGTGCATGTCTTAAAAGAAGCTGCTTTTTATTGTTTGAGGAGTCATCTTTATTGGACACTTAAATAGATGTCAAAGTTGTCAAAGTAGCCTTATATACAGTAGCTAATGAGAAAAATACTCCAAAATCTGCTTCAGATATGTCTTCAGTTGCAATTAAAATAATAATGCAGTTTAGTCCAAGATACACCACAAATGTTAGTCCATTAACAATGAGGGGATTGGCAAAACTGTAATAAAGTATAATGGGTTTTGAAAAAGAGATGACTAGGGGACTTTGAACTTTCAGCTAAATAACTCTGCCAATAATGGTGTATTTGAGTGTGTGGCGAAGAGGAAGTATACTCTGTACTATATTTTTGCCATAAAAATAGGTTAGTGTGTAGATTAAAAAAAAACAATGGCAACATAAAAAAGTTAGCAATGGCTAGGATATTAGCAGCAGTTTAGAGCTCTGGTACAGTAAAACCACTGACAATGTCAATTCATTATCATTGATAGCTAAATAATCTTAGAAATGCTCAGTGGACCTATTAGTTCCTGAACATAAGCAGCTCATGCTGCATTCCTTCATTAGCTTTAATTGCTATAAATTTACCTTTTTAAAAAATCATGTTTTAAGAGGTGAAGTGATCTTTCAGGAACATTAACTTGGTAATTTTGTCACAAACAGAAGGTCCTATACTATGTTTTCTTTTCTTCAGTAGTTAAGATTCTGTCCTGTGACTTTTAGATTCATTGGAGAAGCTTTCCATTAGATAGAAGGTTAAAGAGTTTTTCCAGTTGTTACATAACCTGTTTGGACATGTGAAATGTCAGTGCAAGGCTGTGAATGATTACAAATGGAAGATATCACTTGATTGCCTTGAAATATAATGCTGACATGAATCAGAAGGTGAAAAATCTCTGGGAAGTGATGCTAAAAATTAAGAGATTTTATACACTGTGCCTTGTGTCACATAGTTAACACAGAGTAGGGGAAGGACAGCATTGCTTTCGCATGTTGCTTTTATTGTTTCACATCTAAGTTTAATTTTTTCCAGCTGTACAGTAGAAATACTTAGCTATAGAGATTGGAAGCTACTAATCTTTCAGCATTTGAAATAAACCGTCTGCTACACATTTCCTTATCGGCAGATGTGTGGTGATTGTTTTCCTTTGCGTTATGTTCATGAATGGGAAATGCATCCCTTACTTGAGAAGGGATCTGTTTTCAGTGAGTATCCAACTGCTACCTATTTAAATTTAATTTTCAGAAGTCTGGGTATGAAGTTGTTGATTACACTAAGATTAGCAAACTTAAGCTGGTTTTCAAATAGTTGTGTTTGCAAAACTTGCACAATAGAATTAGTGAAAAGGCTTAGCCCACAGTTTTGAGATTTTAAAAACAATGAATTGTTCAGGATTTCAGATTTTAAACAAATTTACGAGCACATACTTTAAAAATGCATCTACTTCTTCATTGCTTTTGCTTGGAATGTAAAGCTTCCAAAAGAAATCTGACAGACTTTTTCTCCTACTAGTTTTATTAAGGGGAGAAGAATAAATCAATAATTGAAAAAATTAGAAGAGATTTAACATATTCAGAAATATTAATAATTTGAAATCAACCTATATGTGCACATTCTTGCAATACATTAAAATATATATTTACATTAAAGTATAGTTACAGATTTTGAAACATCTTAAAGCACACAGGTTTTCTTTTCTTTTCTTTTTTTTGTAACATGCATGTGGTTTCCATTTCTATTGTGTTTGTGTATTTATGCATTACTTCACATATCTTCTAGACATGTGTTTTTAAACATTAAACTTCACTTGAAGTTTGATCGTAGCAATTTTGCCAGTGTATGGATGAATATGCCTTTTGTAATATTTTTAAATGATTCCTAGTAATTATTGAATTTTGAAAACGTTACACAGAAAATTAGAGGACTTGTCTTAAAGAGAGGTAAAATCTTCTCATCCACAGTGTTATGTGTTTTGCTCTCACTCTTGGTTTTGTCGTATTTTTAAAATTAGTTCCAGGTTCGTTGAATATGGATCTTTATATCAACAAAATTATAAAAGAAATATTTATGTTTAGCGTTGTCCTTGGAGAACAAAGAATATTCATTTTTAAACATAATATTAGAAAGAGTGGGAGATGTACATTTGGTTTTTAAATATGTCTTAATGGTATTGTGAGTGAACTGTTTGTTCTAAGGCTATGAAAAATCTTTAAATAGAAAGTTGAAACTTCAGTTAAAACTATTTTTGTGTGGTATTACCTATTTTTTTGTGCTTTAGAAGGAATCTCTGTGTAGATGATTATAATGTCACTTTCTGACCTTTGCAGCTTGAATAATTGTAAATCATTGCTTCATAAAGTGTCAGAGAATGTCTGTACTAGGCAATTAAATGGCAGAATATAATAGACCAAATTATTGCCTGTCATGTTTTCAACAACACAGTTAGTATTTGAGTTACACTTAATCATTACGTGCATTAGCAACTTCATTGGAATCCCGCTTCAGGCTGAGCATGAAATACATTACATTATTTAAACCTCTAATGGTAGAAGTCATTTATTTGTGTTGAAGTGTACAACATGCAGCGTTTCATAAAGCAAGGAACACTTGAGAGCTTAATTTATCCAAATCAAAGTCTAAAGGCAGATAAACACAAGTGGCAAAAATTAGTAATTTTTATAGGCTGGAAATATTTAAAAATACATGGTTGTGAGTAATTGTAGGCAGCAGGAATAAATTAAAATCACTATTTTTGGTTGGCTCAGAGAACTAAAGCTGTTGTATATTTAAATAATCAAATGTAGCATGGAATCACATTTTTGACTGAAAAATTAATTACACGCATCATATCCACAGCTGTATCCAAATAAAACAATGCTGAAGCAACAAAGTAAAACAGACTTTTCTGTAGCTTCAATAATCTGAACTATTCATAGTACAGAGAGGACAACCTTACAGTAGATCCAATGATAGTTTGACTCATAATCAACAAAGGAAAATACCATACTGATAATAATATGTTTCATTATTGAGCCATATTTTGATTATAATTTTTTTTTGAGAAATGTCTGAAATACATATGCTAAGGCAATATTTGTAAATTATATTGGTTTCTCTTCTGCCTTTGTTAATGATGGAAAGTGAACTAGACTGTCTTTCCATATAGTACTATATTTTTTTCCACCGATGGACATTGTTTCTCTTGTGGAATGGATTGTGGATTATCTTGTCTCTGCTGTAGAAGCTCTAGGATATGTATGCACTTAGGAATGGCGAAGAGAACAACAGAGTCCTGTTTTGTAGCAGAAGTTTGCTTCCTTAAGACGGATATAATCCAGTAGTTCTACTGCGGTGTAACATTTTAATATACTTTACTGTTCTCTGATCATCTGTTGCTGTTTCTCTTGCATCTAATGTTAGATGCTGTGTAAGGTCATGGTGGAGTTTTTGGAGGGTGGGCTTACATGAATTGGCTTTTGTTTAAGACATGAGCAGGGCT